ATACCAAACAGTGAGTCTTCTTACGTGTAACGCCACTCTTGTCCGAAATTCTGACTCATTCGTGAGTCATTCTCTTGCAGTCACCGATCTTCGATCGAAATTGTCAACGAAGTGGCTAATTTCTGGTCTGGACATCCACGTTAATGCATTCATCTTTTTGTTGCTAATGTAAATTATGCACTAAAAATCCTTTATAATTGTATTACGTACTGGGTGAACAACTTGCTCGGTATCTCTGGCCTGTAACTTTATTGTAACAAATGACTAAATACCCGAGCGTGTTAAAGTGCTTTTTCACATAGCTTCAATATAACAAGCTTGTAGGATAGATGCAGAGTGGAGCAGTTCTGTTCCAAATACAGAGATTATCTCTGTTCTAGATATTCCGTGTTTCTACTTTCCCCATTCGAGAGTTCCCTAGTGAGAATCTCTGGGGAGTTTGTAGATTTAGAGGGAAACTTTTACTTCAGATAACCGTAGGGAAATCGTGAGCTCTTTCGAAAGAAATGGGCGATTTGGAGACTCTTCTTTGGCTCTCGGTCTACAGTAGAATTAAGTTGTCTACGTTAGCTCGAGTAGTCAATGTGAACAATTTGTACTGTCATCTACGTCTCAGTCTCCGCAGATTTAGTCTCTGTATGAATTTTTCATCTCCCGAATGCGTGGTACATGGGCCGTCTACACTGTATTTATTGATTTAATCATCCTAATATGTGACGAACTGACCAGATCGTGAAGCTTCTCATTACGCAATTTTCTCCTGTCGTCACTGTAGCAAAACTGCAGGATGAAGTCAGCTTCTGGGATCGAATCTCGTACCTCCAATCAAGAGGCTACTACACCCATTGTATTCAATACAATTATTTTATATTTCGAGAAACGTCAGAACCTGGGATTATCTGACCCTGCTGTGTAAATCTGTTACAAGTTGAGAATTGACTAACTGAACGCTGATACAAACGCTGGCCATTGTGCGCATCCCTGGGTTGATTATACCCACTTCATATTCTCGCAAAAAAAATTTCCATGAGATTCATCTTCGTAGCATCATCCCCTCTCTTTCTCGGTCTACAAAGTAGCCGCTTTCCGGTTGAGAACGGAACATCATTCTAAATATGGACTAAGTGATAGTGGAGCTGGGTCCGCAGACGTTCATTGTTTCCAACATGGAGTGTGTCAGCTGATTCAACGTCGAATTATACCCGGCATTCCCTTGGAATGCTTATTAGCATTGTTTGCGCATGACTGGGCTACTGATGCAAGCACACTTGTCAGAATATTTTACTTGTACAGACAGAGCTGTAAGTTGTTACTCTTGTCTCGCGGTGTGGCACGCACTACTCACTCCTGAACGATCTTGGATGATACCCTAGGGGCGTAGCCCCCTGGGACTGCATCGCCCCCCTGATCACAATAGCCGGCCATTGAACTCTGCCATGAGCCAATTCGATCCAGTCTCCAACTTCATACAATATTTCTCGATGATCCAATTTAAGATGCTCCCCCTGTCTTTGCCAAAGTCCCTTTTCTTCAGGTTTTTGAGACGAGAATTTTGTTTTCGTGTCTTATGTACTCCATGTGTGCTATATGCACTGCCTGTATTTTCCTCGTTGAGTTGGTCGCACTGACAATAACCTGTAGTCGAAAAGTACACATTATGAAATTCTTTTGTGTGACATTCTCCAGTCTCCAGTCAGTCTTAAATACGAACATTTCCCCCAGAAGATTATTTAAACACTTTAAATACATCGCTGAGAGTGGAAGATTCACAAAACGACAAGTACATTTTTCGCATCAAAAGTTACGTACGTTAAATCTTGAGGTTTGAAACAGGACATTGTAAAATAAAATAATTTGAAAGCCGTGACGGGTCTGAAATATTAATTTAGATGTTGTTAGAAACAGGCGGGTAGGAAAGTATACAAACCTAAAAAAAATAGCAGAGGATACTCATCTCAGTGATTCATTCTTTCTGCTTTGTTTTCTTTAGGGACGTGCCAGCAGGTAGCGCCGTAGGCGCCGGATGACAGGTTGAATGACGAATAATGATTTGGGAAGTATACGGAAGACAACGGTAATGGCCTGATTTAAGGCATTATCCCGGCATTTTGCCTGGAGGGACTGAGTGAAGCCACGAAAACATAGATCAGGACTGCAGGAGTGATATCCATTTGACGAAGACAATTGAATTGAATTATTATTGTTGTTGTGATAGCATCTCAGAATAGATCATGGCCCCTTTCTTTTAAATTCTTCCATGCTGACAAAAACTGTTTTTTGAGGTAAATACGTCTATACGGAAGGGTCATTCGGCAAAAAAGTGTAACGAAGATGTGTAAGATCCTTATCAACAATGTATAAATATGGACCGACAACAATGGTTATGTTAACTAAGAAACTAATTGTTACGTCATTTGTTTACTCGGCATTGTTGTGTTACATTATTGTCGTCAACAATCCGCTTTCGTTATTGCGGAAAGAGCTGAGCTGTGAATCGCGTGTAGAAGAAGTGCGTCGTAGACTAGATAATTTTGTGCTGGTAAAAACGAATACGGACCGGAGAGCCATAGAAGAAGAATAATAATAACGTTTTAGAATATCACAGGTACTTATCTTATATAAGAATTATTATATTAAATTTCATTACATTACAGAGACGTATTTACGTCAGATTCTCCGGAACCGTCAACTTCTTTGACGTAAATACGTCTATACGGAAGGGTCATTCGGCAAAAAAGTGTAACGAAGATGTGTAAGATCCTTATCAACAATGTGTAAATATGGACCGACAACAATGGTTATGTTACTTAAGAAACTAATTGTTACGTCATTTGTTTACTCGGCATTGTTGTGTTACATTATTGCCGTCAACAATCCGCTTTAGTTATTGCGGAAAGAGCTGAGCTGTGAATCGCTTGTAGAAGTGCGTCGTAGACTAGATAATTTTGTGCTGGTAAAAACGTATACGGACCGGAGAGCCATAGAAGAAGAATAATAATAACGTTTTAGAATATCACAGGTACTTATCTTATATAAGAATTATTATATTAAATTTCATTACATTACAGAGACGTATTTACGTCAGATTCTCCGGAACCGTGGTTCCACTGACAACTTTTTTATTCGTCACTAAATTATCCAAGAGACTAATCCAAACCAGTATTTCTTTGTTTGCACGTTTGTCCTTGACTGAAGAGTGCAAGGACAGGCAATGGTTAACCCTACGGAAATAAGCGAAAGACTATCAAAGAAGCCCCTCAGATATTTGTATCATTTTAACGAAATGAACAATTTGGCCATCACTTACATCAATGCGTTTTAGCTTTGACAGACCCTTCAAAGGCTGGTGGTTTCTAAACTGTTTAGAAGAAGTAGACTGGACTGTTTAGTCACGAGACAGTAACGGTGTCAGTGAACTGAATATCGATTTGGTTAATCCATGGCCTCAGACACGCCCTGCTTCTTTAAGGGATAACAACGGCGACCGGCATATTTTGTTTGATCCCATAAAATGCCCATGTGGCAAAATGTTTGGTGCTTTTGAAAAGAGGATAATTTGCCCATTTCTTACTACAAGACTGTCATTTTAAATATTGAGTTTAATTTTATTTTCTTAATTGTCAACTTGAATACCTTCATGTTCTAATGAAATTATAACGCGAATATGAAAGTATGCCATGGTTGATGCCTGTCACTAATCTTATGTCAAAGACGTTGGTTAGAGCTGAAGAATCATGCGTTTTCTACGTCACCATTGTCACATAGACGCACTCTTGAAGAAAACTAGTACTGGTAAACCATCACCGAAAACTTACAATATTAAAATTTTCAGGCATGCCTAAACGTTTATTTTACAGTGCCATCTAATGCGTCATGATTCATAAGCAAAGACTTACTGTACTGTTTAAAACAACGGCCATATACTTTGAACCTTCCTATCCCATGCATTTTGCCGTTGAATCAAACCGGCTTGGTTCGTCCAATCAGAAATCCCCATTCGTTTTATGCCCATATAAGGCACGTACAATTCTGGGAACAGAGGTGGGGAGAACGTCGAATCTAAACTGAATAGGGGAGTTGGGTTGTATGTGCAGTACAATATCTAACATTTTGGAGTGTTCTTTATTCAATAGATAATAAGATTTATTATTATTTTAATTTTTAAATGTATATAACTGCTACCAACGTAATACTATCAGTACAATAATTCTGTGTCAACAATATCAAAATTATTTTCATACCTTGGACGAGTCCACTTTTGTGACGAGACTTTCCCTGAGCGGTTAGATCGCTCACTTGCGGCAAATTCGTAGTGTTGTTTGGAAGTGTGACGTGTACGTCTGTGCAAAGGTAAGGTATGAGGTATTTTTTTTCTTTATCTTGTAGATAGGAGAAGAATTTTCTCTTATCTGTTTTAACTTGAAAAAATACAATGACGAAGTTCTTTATTCTCTGAACAGTCGCTAATTACCGGCAATATGCGTTTTTGGGCAACCATTTTGAATTGCCAAGTGGGCCGTTTGATACTTATGCACGAATAATGTACTTCATCTTTCAATCTATATAAGAATTGCGTGGAGTGGTGCGACATAACAGGTTGCATTCTCGCTCAGTAGCAGGTGGTTTCGTTTCTAATTTTAGAGGCAGTACAGCAGTGTTCGCTACTCTCCAGTGGCAAAGGAGTTCTCATAAATAACACGTTATATTAGGGTAACGGAAGTATTTAGTATTGAATTTACGTTTTTCTTACTTGCCTTAACTTGTTATATTTACTTGGTGTTTATAGTTTTAAGAACATTTCCCTTCCTGTGAAGTGCGGAAGGCCGGAAACGTTTCTACTATAAAAATAAGTGACAATTGACCGGCTTTCGAATGTCATAACCGGCATGGCGGGTTCCGGTAGGGTGCGTTGTGTTCCATGCTGCTAGCTCAATACCATATATGGTAAAGAAAGCTGCCATTGGCTGAGGGTGCCATGCCCTTATAAGTTTGAGGGGGGAGAGGTCTGAGGGAGGGAAGGACTTACCAGGCATATATTACTCTTACCTCAGCAGGCTAGTGCAATCAGTCTGGTACTGGAATTGGTGGTTCGCAAGTCGGCGTTTTTGTACTTTTTGTATATAAGAATTTCAAGTAAGTGTTGTGGAATTTTTAGTTATAATTATATTTCTTGAAGTTACTGTGAATTGCTGCGATGTTTCTGCAGTGGGTGTTTGTGCCGGGTGGCTCAGTGGGTGAGCAGGATCGTTTGGAATGTTTCGGAGGGCGGGGTTGGCTGAATGGTGATGCTGGGAGTTCAGAAACTTGGGAGCCGCCCTTACCTATATGGCAGAGGAACGCCTTATTTAGTATTTAGTAGTGGTTTGTTCCATTGGCCATTGAAACTGCATAGTTCACATCTGTATTGAGTGTGCTGGAAGATTGATAACGTCAGGTGGTTGCTGCCCAGTTTGGTTACATTGTCAGATTTTTTTTAATTCAGAAATTTGTTTGGTATTTAAGTTTCTGAAAAACAAGTGAAATGTTTTTAAGGCTGAAATAAGCTTTGTTACCTGAGATCTATAGATTTAGGAATGTTTGATATATTCAGTAGTGCTGTAGCCATTGCCACATCTGCTAGAACAAATTTGAGAGTAGCTGAGATACTTATTTAGGTTTTGTTGAAGTTCTTGGTTGTAATTGCTACAGATTGATATCTGTTTTTCTAAAATTAATGTTGGTGGTAAGACGTGCATATTACTCGGACTGTTTCAGTATCCTAAGCTTCTAACCATGTGTGACGAGGAAGTTGCTGCACTTGTAGTTGACAATGGGTCTGGAATGTGCAAAGCTGGGTTTGCAGGCGATGATGCACCCCGAGCAGTATTTCCATCAATTGTTGGGCGACCTAGACATCAGGTAAGTTGATCTGTTCCTGTAACATTTTAAATTTTGTGTGGCATTTATTTTGGACATCTATATTCATTTAGGAAAACATGTCTTTACATCAGTATCAGTTTGATTTAAGTTTGTGTATTTTGTGTGTTTCAGGGAGTTATGGTAGGCATGGGTCAGAAGGACAGCTATGTGGGTGATGAGGCCCAGTCAAAGAGAGGCATTCTTACCTTAAAGTACCCTATTGAGCATGGTATTGTGACCAACTGGGATGACATGGAAAAGATCTGGCACCACACCTTTTACAATGAACTTCGAGTAGCCCCTGAAGAGCATCCGGTCTTGTTGACTGAGGCTCCTCTTAACCCTAAAGCAAATAGAGAAAAGATGACCCAGGTGTGTGGAATTATTTTTCATGCTGCATAAAGAAAATCTCCACTGTTATGTAGGAACAATATACTAATGACACTTATTTGTTGCAGATTATGTTTGAGACATTCAACACACCCGCAATGTATGTAGCTATTCAGGCTGTCCTATCTCTATATGCATCTGGCAGAACTACTGGTATCGTGCTGGATTCTGGTGATGGTGTTTCTCACACTGTACCTATTTATGAAGGTAATTTGTGAGTAGTTTATGTAATGTATAATGAACTTGGGCTGGGATATCTGTCAGTATAGGTTCTTCTTCGTCCAGACTTGGCTCTGAGGCCTACCTGACATCTGATCTAATGGGTACTAGGGTTCTTTTCTGAGGTTAAAGAGTGGATGTTATGTGATGCTGACCACTTTTTCCAGCGCTTAGGTGAATGAGTAGGAGCTATACCATCCTCTCCCTCCAAGTGCATATAATGGGACTTTTTTCTTCAACTTAATTTCCAAGAATAGTTTACCATCAGCACTGGATATATTATTCTGAACTTTCAGGCATATTTCTTCTGATAGTGTACCCAAAGGACTAACTAATTAAATGTTTTCAGGTTATGCTCTGCCCCATGCCATTCTGCGTCTGGATTTGGCTGGCCGTGATTTGACGGACTACCTCATGAAAATTCTGACTGAGCGTGGCTACAGTTTCACAACCACTGCGGAGCGAGAAATTGTCCGTGACATCAAGGAGAAGCTGTGTTATGTTGCTCTTGATTTTGAGCAGGAGATGGCCACTGCAGCCTCCTCAAGCTCACTGGAGAAGTCTTATGAACTTCCTGATGGTCAGGTGATCACCATCGGTAATGAGAGGTTCCGTTGTCCAGAAGCGCTGTTCCAGCCTTCCTTCTTGGGAATGGAAGCTTGTGGCATTCATGAGACCACGTACAACTCCATTATGAAGTGTGATGTGGACATTCGTAAGGATTTGTATGCTAACACGGTTCTCTCCGGTGGTACCACCATGTACCCAGGCATTGCTGACAGGATGCAGAAGGAAATCACTGCCCTTGCACCTTCCACAATGAAAATTAAAATTATTGCTCCTCCAGAGAGGAAATACTCCGTTTGGATTGGAGGTTCTATCCTTGCTTCTCTCTCAACCTTCCAGCAGATGTGGATTTCTAAGCAGGAATATGATGAATCTGGGCCTTCCATTGTCCACAGGAAATGCTTTTAAATGTTCAACGTACCTTAATTATTTTTCAATCACGAAGAAGTTGTGCTTTTGCAAGCCAGAGTACTCCTACAACCTGGAGGAACATCAAAGACTTGTTTCTTTCTTTCATTCTGTCATGAACAGTTTTCAAATCACCAAGTTGTATTATAATTGCGTGATTCCATTGATATGTTTTGCGTTTCTATATATGATTAAAGAAGGTTAGGCTGCCTTTTCTCTAAGATCGCCTTTAGTGTCTCCCAGGGTTTCTACGACTGAGCAATCAACTCTGAGGAATCCATGCTCAAGCATTCTGTGTAAAAGGCTTACTGTAATTTGACAATTGTAAGATATTTGGTAATTTCATAACTGAAAATTGTAAAAGTTTTTGTAATGCATTTTTCAGGGAATTTTCACATATAAGAGTTATGACTGTTTCTCTCAAAAAAATTGATGGTTCAGTTCAGAACCAAAGTGATTTCTAAATGCACTAGGCCAAAGTATTAATTTATTCCCATGTGCAGATCTAAGAATTAGAGTATGGGAAAATAAATAAAAATTAGTAAAATTTGTTTTTATATTTGTACCCAGTTACCATCCAAATCCAGAACCATCATGTGTGGGGGGTGAGTGGTCATGGAGGAGTGTAGCTTCCTGTTGCTGGTGTGGAATATGAGGGTTGAATATCTTGAACCTTTCAGAACTGGCTGTTTGAAATGTTTTCTCGTAGGTGGCTTCTATTTGATCACTCCTGATTGAGTTATTCTCTTGTTTGTAAGAAGCTTGAGTTGTATTGGGTAGGTTGCAATTGAAAGTGAATTGCAGATTTTTTGTACGTAGATCAAGAATGGGTTTTGGTGTAATCTGTTTGGTAATTTGACCATATTTAACTGCATCTTTCTTTTGTGCATCAGTTCATTAAAATTTCAATTTTGTTCCTTGATAAACTGATTATCAGGGCAGTCGAATGTGGAAATACAAGGCATGGCTTGCAATTTGCTATGTAAATTCCCTCCATCTTCATATACTGCAAGATGCAAGTTTTGACAAAGCGAATGTAAATATGTTAATGCATATGTTCACTACTTTGGAAATCTTTGCTGTTAAGTCTGTATTTGTAGTTGATTTGATAACATGACTGACAGTAACTTGGACTGCTTTGCTATGAATGATTGAATAATGAAATAGAAATGATTATTGTAGTGGTCATGGGCTAATTTAAGCTACTATCCTGTCTAGAGGGAGTGACATATTAGAGGTCTTGGAAAAGAGGTTTGTATTTTGTAATATACAGAAGTTTTGTACAATGATCCAGTTTTGCGAATATTGTTAAAATGCACCTTTATGCAAAACAGGTGCTATGTTGGATTTGTGATGTTCCTATGCCATGAAGTGTGACCAGGAGGTACTGAGTTGAAACATCAAACTCCTATCGATACGAGCTACTGAGGAGTATTGAAGTAAATTCTAATGTTCCCCAAGATCCCATTACTTAGCATTAGATTGACGAACACGGAGTGCTAAGATTAAAATAGTTTATTTTACCTTGTCGAGGGGTTATGAACACATGCTAACAATGTTTGTGTGGTTACAATAAATAATATTAATGTTGGTACACCTGACCGACTGGTTCCGTTCCATTGGCGCTGAATTGTCAAATTACTGTGGATGACACGTATTATATTTAGGTACGCAGACTGTAATTGATAAAGTAATGAAAAGTAATGTATGTTATTTTAACCATATTTACGAATACGACTTAATATGGTTGATATTTCTGCTGATACATTAAGTTCAGGACAGCCATATTCGACATGGGTAAGTGTAATTATAATTTTCATGTGTATTATTTTAGTTTTCAGTGTTTCCCCACTCATCCATATTATTATGCTCATTGTTTAGTGATTTTTAGGAAAATCAGAAGGAAAGGGACTGCTTGGGAGAGCTAAGCGATAAACTGATACACATGACTTCAAGATGTAAACTGGTGGTCTGAATTATTCTGGCTCAGGATAGGTTAAGTGGGGAATTGTGAACATGATCATGAAACTGTGGATTCCATAACAAACAGGGAATTTCTTGACTATCTGAGTGATTAATAGCTTTAAAAGAAGCTCATATAAATATTGTGGTTTATGTTGAAGCTGTATTTATTTTTCTTTGAGGATGAGTTTTTGCAGTAGGTTGAATGCTTTATTATGTGCACAGTATTACAAAAATCTGATTTATAATTAATTTACTGTCAACTGAATCTGTTATAATTCTTGTTGTACAGATGGGCCTGATTTATGTTTTCAACCTGATTGTGGGTACTGGTGCGCTTATACTGCCTGCTGTGTTCAGCAGAGCTGGCTGGGCACTTGGACTTTGCCTTATTTGTTTGTTGGCCTTCATTAGGTAAACATTATACAGATCATTCTGGTCTCAAGATTTTAAGAACAAAACTGTCAGGAATTTTTATGGTAGTGTTGACTAGAACTGGGACCCATCACTGTGAACCATGGTCTTCTACATTATGTCATCAAGTAATTTTGTAGGTGGTCAGCAGCATTTCAGGGAAATATGTCACTTCCATCTTCAGAGTTCTGTGTTCCATGAATATGTTGGTGATCATGCACAGTACTCCTTAGCATTACATCTCAGAAGACCATAATCCACATTTTCTCCTTGCAAAACTTCATGTTTATATATTAAAATTCTGTGATTTGTCAGTATTGTGTAATTACTCACTTGTATCCTGAAGATGGAGGCAACACATTGATCTGAAACATTGGTAACTATGAATGGTGTAAGAACCCAGACGACCATGATTCACATTTTCATGCCATACCTATTACTCTTTTATTAGCTAAATAAATAACACATAGCAACACTACTTTGCATGTATATACTATGTTATTGACATGCAGTGCCATTTGTACCAATTTAATATTTTTACTCCATGAAAGAGAACTTCTGTGGTTTTATTCAAGTGTAGAAGTTTCTGTCAATTTCGAACTACAGAGACAAGTACTTGTTAAGGCTGCTTGTATAAATAACAAACAGATTTCTTGTATGAAGCGAATTTATTGCCATTTAGAAATTTTGCTATCTGTATAATCCTGTTTGGGATTGAAGTTTCTTTGAAGTAAACTGAAGAAAAATTTGACTGCAGAAAAGGTTCTACACATTGTTTACATCCAGTATAATTTTTCTATAAGTCTTACAGATTTAAAGTTAATTAAATATAGTGTATAAATCCAAAAGTTATTTTATACCATGTCTTCTCATAACTCAACAACCACTGGATTGATTTTCATATGATTTTGCATTGGAGGTTATTGTTTCTCTGTCCTCACATATTCTGTAGTATTTATAAGGGAACATGAAAAGTTAGCTTTCACAAATTGAAAATGTATTGGTAATTTGAGAATGCTACAATTATGCCATGCCTACATTTCCAACATTTTATATTTCAGCTATATAACTGTGACATTTGTGATAGAAGCCATGGCTTCGGCCAGTGCCATTGTTCATTGGAAACATGTACAGAAGACGAAAGAGGTAAGTGAAGGAAGAGACAATGTTATTGAAAAGTAGCAGATAGATTGAATACCTTGAAACTTCTCTTCACTGTTAAAGATAGTCTCAGTAGCATGCTACTATTGATGTTGTTGGATCAGAGGAACTTACCTGTTTCTGTTAGGGGATAGAGCGATAAGTGTGTCATGGGGGTGAGACTGTGTCTCTGTGGAACTGTGACTGCTAGTGGGGTGCATTATCCATCCCTCAGATGATACATGAGTGAATATAAAGCATCTGTGGAATGATGTTGACAAGAGAACACTGAAGGACTTGGAGTAATACCTGTCTCAGTGCTGCTTTCTTCACAGATCTCTCGTGGACTAGCCTGGGAGCAAACCTTGTCCTCTGTAGTGAGAAGCTGGGAATTACTTGCATGAGTTATGTTGTGGCCTATAGTCTGCTTTCACTCGCTTGCTACAAGTGGCATCCTATCTAGTCTCACCCCGTTGATAATCGGGAAAAATGTGATCAGACTTATGAAAGTTTATAATTTTGAAATAATAGTAAAGAGATTCATCAATCAACATCATCTTTGCTAGCTGTGTGGACATCTAATTACTGTCACGATGTTGGAAGTTTGTACATCCAGTGTCTAATATCGCTGTTTCAAAGAGGTCTTCTGGTAAGGTCCTTCTGTGCTTGAAGGTGGAAACAGTCAGTTTCTGAAAAGTTGGATGTTAAGAGAAAGCAAGAAAACATTGATGTTCCTTTAAAGGCAGCGTGATTCAACCGTTTGATTAAGTGATGTGGTGCAAGACCCGGAAGACCACTCTCTAAATGAGAACACATTTATTTTTACGTGGTGTTAAGTTCAGTAGAATAATAAGGCATTTTAGACATTGCAAGTTTTGCTGCAACAAGCCACCACTAGTTCCAGCATATGTACATATGTGTTTATGATATAAGGATTCATTTCTTTGCTATTTAGATGGAGTATTGTTGCAGGCATTGCAAACAGAATCCATGGATGAGGACAGCACAGAGGATACACCTCTTTTCTCTCCTGGTTGTGTAGATCCACATTGCTACTACGATATTCAGGAGAAGATTGAGATGGTAAGTAAGCTATAAGCAAGAGAACCAGTGAGTGAATCTAGTACAGGGCAAGAGTTTTATGTGGAAAGTGTTATAAATCCAATGAAAAGAGGAATGATTTGTATGTAAAATCTTGTTATTTTGCTGGGGCCGTAGAAATTCAGCACTAGATGAAAGAAAAGTGGACATAAGAAACATTCATTTGAAGTTTTGTTGTGTTGTAATTACTCATTGTAATTGCCAAGAGGCTGCAGGAGGTCACTAGACCTCTAATAATCCTATCAGCTTCTACTACACAACATAATTTTTATTTGATGTCTAGTTCACCGCTATTCTCACATCCTTTCATGGGAGACAGAAAAAAGCAGTGCACTGTCTTCTTATGCCTGGTCACTAATAGGTTGGTTATCATCTGATAAACATCTTTTCTGTACAGATAGTAGACACCTTACATGGTTGGCCAGTAGGAAATAAATATGTGATACACCTTAGCTCTTGTAATTGAATTACATTGTGATTTTCTGTAGTTTGGGATAATACAAAGTATCTTCTGGTTTCTGGAGGGATCTCTGTTACTTATTCAGGAACATGATAATGTTTGATACTCTGTGGTGCTTTGGTCTGTCATCAGTGCAACATGATTTTGACTAGACGCTGTGTTTGTTACCCTTTATGACAGTTGTTTACATATATTTAGGAAGAATTTTCTAAAACACATTTTGTACTGGTGCTAGATTCTTGCTGAATAGCTTGGCAGCAGAATCAAGTGTTTTTCTATATGTTGTCTTATGCTTCTCAAGCAACTCCAAGAAATTTGTACAGCGAAGTGTTGTTAAATGAATTTTCCATGCATATCATCATGATCATTAGTATATTTATGTGTTAATTACATGAAGCAGCTTGTTTATGTTATGAAAATAAGTAAGTATATTTTTCAATTTCCTTGAAACCTGTTTTTCCCATAGGTTTTTAAGTTTGTCAGGCACTGTTTTCCAGGAATGTAACACTTCATTTTATGGTTTTATTTACATATGGTTTATTAAACAATTCTGTTAGTAGTTCAGGTTATATAGTGTCAGATGATTAATGAATAATGAATTAGAAAGAATATTATGGAAGGAAGTTGTCATGGAAAGTTTTAAGGTACTATCCCAGAATTTTCCTAGAGGGATTGAGGGAAACTGACATAATCAATCAGGATAGCCAGTCTTCAAGGTGAGATTTGAACCTGGGACCTCCAGAATATGAAGCAGTAAATAGTAGAGCTAACCATTGGACCATGATGTTTGTATTTGACGAGGATCAAATATATGTATGATAGTGGCTTAAGGGAAGTAATAATGCATTTTATTGTTTGGAATGATCTTTAATGTTGGATTATTTTTTCTTACAGGGTCAAATGGCTTCTATGTTTTTTAACAGAAGTAAGTTACAATTTACAGAATCAGTTTTATATATAGACTTTTAGTAAATTGATGTGTTGTCTTATGTTATGTCAGACCTAAAATGGTAGTAGAAATCAGTTCTCACTGACCTAGTACCTTATACACATTTGCTAGTTTTAGATTTATACCTAAATTCTCTATTTTTTAATGTCAAAATACAGGTATGTTTGGGATTTAACTTACTTGTACTTAGTCTTATTTTGCAATTACAGTCTCTTATCCACAAGTATGTTATTCCTGACAAGTATTTTTTAAGAATATTTGTGGTGTGAAAATTATGTTTTATGTTTAACTTTTTTGTACAGTCAGTATAACAGCCAGTCACCTGAAGACAAGTAGTCAGTTCACAAAACATCATGTATTTTAAATATAGCTCAGATGATGGGCAGTGTCTAAACAACTTCAGTGTAGAAATCAGCCATTGTCACAAACCTTTAGTGAATCATTTCCATTAGTCTGATTCCACATTTGTCATCCAGTAGGCGTGTGTTGTAACAGAATGCATCTGTGTGTTGCAGGTGGACGGTTTTTGTTTTTCCTTTGCTTTGTAGTTTATCTGTATGGGGACTTGTCCATCTATGCAGCTGCAGTATCCAAGTCTGTCATGGAGGTTGCCTGGTGAGAGTTACTTTGTTGCTTTTAAGTTTTACTAATACATCCAAGGAGTATGATGTGGGTGGGACATGTGATGTGCATGGGGGAGATGAGAAATGCATACAGAATTTTGGTTGTGAAGCCTGAAATGGAAGAGATCATTCAGAAAATCTGTGTGTGGATGGGAGGATAATATTAGAATGCATTGTAAGGAAATAGGTTGGAAGAGTTTAGATTGGATCCATCTGGCTTAGGATAGGTACTGGAGGTGGCCTGTTTTGAACATGGTTCAACATAGGCCAGTAAAATGGTTATGTTGTTCATTGGCCAGGACTGCAAAATACATGCATGGCTTCATGTGTTATTATTTCTTAGGGATAATTATGTTTACAAAAGAGGTGTATTAATTTGTTAAATGTGTTTACAAGATCATTTTATTGAACACTTGTTGTTTGAGGAGGTGGTATATAATAAAATGTAAATCCCTTGAATTTCATTTTTTGGATGTGTTTATACCAAATGGAGAAAGAATCCTGAAGTGAGTTTCAGCCCACTAAGCTTGAAACAGGTTCTATTAAACTCTAAAATTATGATTGTTTATCAAGACAGTGATTGAACTAATCCATTCTGATTCTTACTGAAATATGTCGTTTATAAACTGAACAGTGTATGTTTTTTGTAGCACATACAACAGTTCCAGCAACTTCACACTTCCAGATACTGACATCTGCTGGGAGAATGTGGATTTGACACGCATCGGTGTGTATCGCGTGTTCCTGGTGAGTTGGCTGCTGGAAGTTTGTAAAGTAGGAGTTGAAATGGAGGAAAGTTGGAGGCTGATGACTCATTTGGTTCTTAGGGAGTCTTCCTTGCAGCACTGGGTCCATTTGCATTCTTTGACATGCAGAAAACTAAGTACTTGCAGATGTTTAGCGCCATTTTACGTCAGCTAGGTGAGTTAAAGCATGTATTTAACTATTTGCATATTACAAATCAGTGAAGAAACAGAATATTTGAACAACCTGAGTTTAAAGATTTAGTTATGTTGTAGCTAATTTTACCTCAAATTCCGATAAATTGTGTGATTTTTTTTAAATGTATTAAACTCTAAAAATAATTTATTTTGAATGAGCCTGCATAGGTTTTTTTGCACATCTAGCATTCGCCGTAATGATAATAACAGCCATCCGAGACCTGATTGTGGATGGGGCTAAGGGTTATCCTCAGGCAGCTGATATAGTGGGTGTCCCTGAATTGTTTGGGGCATGTGTGTATTCATTCATGTGCCACCACTCTCTTCCGGCTTTGGTGTCGCCCATCGCAGACAAGTCTCGCCTCTTCAGCTCGATAGCCCTTGACTACCTTCTGATCACCATGTTCTACTTACTGCTGGCACTCACTGGTGTATTTGCATTTGCACAAGTCAGTGACTTATACACCCTGGACTTCAGTCAGCGCTGGCTGGGGAAGGAAGCATTCCTGATCCCCCGTTACTTCCTAGCTCTCTTCCCTGTATTCACTCTCAGTACCAGCTTCCCTATAGTGGCAATAACACTGCGTAATAACCTAAAGTCCTTGTTCCTCACCGAAGGGTACCATTATCATTGGTGTATCTGCAAGTTGCTTTTCCCACTCTTGGCTGTAATCCCTCCTGTACTAGTTGCCATGACCACTAAGAACCTTGAGATTCTTGTTGGTGTGACTGGATCATATGCTGGTGCTGGAATACAATATCTTATTCCAGCTTTCCTTGTATTTAGTGCCAGGAAGAGAACATTAAAAGTAATAGGAATGAGTATTAAGAATGGTTTTGAATCACCATTCAAAGGCAAATACTGGGTGTTATTTGTGATAATATGGGCAATTACATGTATTGTCCTAGTGTCAGTTAACTTCATGAAGAGTTTTGTGTAATCAGTAACTAACATTTGGGCGTAATCATCCTTTTGACCTGCCACTGTTAAACATTTTTATTTTTATGTATATATTCATTTTTGAAAGCTTGGTGCTTTTAAATTTTTATGGTTTGGCAACATTTATATTTGAATGTTTTAGTATATGAATTACGCTGCAGTAGTTTTCTACAGGGCCTATAGGTTTCATAATTGGTGATGAAACTGTGAATAACAGCTTACCATCACATATTACTGAGTCGGATTGTGACTCAGTTTTATAAGCATCTCTTCATTGCAGTTCAATTTCATGAGTTTTTAGTGGGTGCTTTGGTCTAACTTGATAGGTTTTCTTTTTAAGTTCTGTAAATTTCTGCCTTTTTTCTTACGTTTTTCTTATGTGCTATCAAGATACAAATTACTCGGGCATTGTGTGAATGTTAATTGAGTTAACTTAGTTCTTCGTAGTGTGACCTTTTTGTTTTAAAATACTGAAATGTAAGAACAGTGCCTGATTCACGCTTCCAAGATGCTATTGGCATATTGGTTATTATGAACTTATGTTCTGTATTGTGACTTCACTTGCTTCAGGTATATTACATTTTTGATACTACATAATATGGGTATGTCCATTCAATATGCCAATTTGTTTGGGTTGGTTGAATTTACAGTGCAATTTATATATTCTGATAAACTGTTTTATTATGAATGAATTTTTAAAGTAGTCTTTGGGTGTTGTTTACATGTGTCAGGTGGTGGTGTAGATGGAGTTTTAATCACTGAGCTTCCTTTATGTCAGATAATGTTCATAGCTCGGTAACACATTTTATTATTACATAGGTGGAAGATCTTCACAAGACTGCTTCATTTAATGTATTTTTAAGGTTTTTGTAAGTGTAAACTAAAAGTAAGACTGAAACTTGTATATCAGACATATATTCATGAATATAAATTGTAGATGCACCAACAATACATGGTGTAAGGTAACAACAGTATTGGTGAACCTTCCTCTCTTAACGTATCCCTGTAGTCGAACTCCTCATGTGACTATTTGGCTGAGTTGTAAGTAGATAATATTAATTTATTTTTATATTTCATGTTAAATAGTATGTATTTGTAGACATGTATATATTTTAATTTACCTAAAATATATTGAACTTTTTATGCCCTTTTTGAGCAGAATAATTGTCTATTCTGAATACTGCCCAGATCACATGCATACAATGAACTAGTTTGGTTGCCACTTGAATGGTGACCATGCTCATCATTATTTTGGAAGAACGAACTAAGGTTCTGATGCAGTTCATCGAGTGTGGAAATGAAAATATGCGTGAACTCCAAAGTGTAAGTAATTTGATTGATTTGTGGGAAATTCGTAGTTCCGTTTGGTGGTGAATGGAATTGTTTACAAACATTTAACTGTACATCTTGGAAGTGTTGATGGTACTATCCTGGTGTCTGCACTGATACAGTTCAGTCAGTTATTAAACTGAACATTCTATTTACATATATACTATGACAGACTTGGAAATTTATTAGGATATGCATAGCACTGGCTGGGTTTAAATAACTGTCAGTACACATTGTTACAGTACGGAATGATCATTTTATTGATAGTGTAAGTACATTCAGAAAAATTATACTTGTGGCTCTCACCATGAAGGAACATGAACATACAGAATCGATCACAATTGATCTTTGACTTCATTCCAGCACTATATGACTAGCCCAAAAACTAATACTACAGCTAGGAGGCTTCATGCTACTTTTACACATTGCATGCCATGTTCTGCACTGTGCAGGATAATGAACAGAATGCATAAGAAATATTGCTTCAAGTAAATAATTAAATCAAGTAATAATTTAAATGAGTCCCGCGCCGTAGCCGTGCAGTCTGAGGCATCATGCTTCGGACCGGCAATACGGAATGCGTGCTGGTTCGAGTCTCGGGGGAGAAGAAATTTTCTCATAAGCTTTCGACCAGTGTATGGGACCGGTGCCAACCCAGCATCGTGAGGAAATTGGGGAGCTATAATGAGTAGCGTAATCTGGTCATGAAAACTAGCAATGGCTGGGGGTTCGTCGTGCTGACCACGTCACCCTATATCTGGTTGGATGATCGTTCACCTCTGCTTAGGCATGTGAACATGAGGCCAGCAGTCAAGTTAGTCAGCTTTGGCTCTCTGGAGCTGTTACGCCACAGATTTATTTATTTAATAATTTAAATGAACATACTCTGTTGTCAGTCCTTTGCAGTCTTAGCTACAGAAATATGCGACATTGCTAAATTCAGTTACCCTTTCATCTTTGGAATGTCCAATGCACTGCTCAAAAAGCACACAACAGCCTCCCAGCTTTCTTCCTTTTTCTGCATGCATGCACGATCTTCTGTTAATGGCACATTATGGATTCACGATTGGTAACATAATATATATACACACACACATAAATGCATAGGTACACTGAAAACAGATCAACAAATGCAAGATGTTCATAGAATGATTGTAGGCAGTTTTCTTCAGCAAGAAATATACAACAGTAATGCTAGTGCCATTAAATATAAATATCTAATTAGTAACCTTCAAATATTATTGATCATACTGATGTATAAAAGTTTTGTTAGCCTGAGAAAAATAAGCTCCAAATTATATGTTACACTACTTTCAAACTGAATATAATGAACAGTTAATTAAACCACATGAATGAATGCTTTTGTCATAATTAAATCAATTTCTCTGTAGTAATGGTGTCATTATGACGACTTTTTCCACAGTAAGGCAGCATATTTTCAAAATTGCTATCAACATTTTTGTGAGATCTTACAAGCTTTTATCCGTATGAGGAAGTGAAGGTCAGATAAAATTGTCCTTGGTGCTTTAACTATGCACCACATCATGCAGATGTATAGGGGCATGAACATATACCTCTATGCATTTTTAGCCTTGGTGCTGGATGGAGGTTAGCTGTTAGCTTCACACTCCTCTCATCTTACTCTCAAGGAAAGAAACCTGGTACCTGGTGGCTAGGAGGCCCTGCCAGGGAATGAATCCCAGCCATTCAGCCTGTAACCTAATCACTATACTGCTTCAGGAATTTCAACCTGAGAAGTGAAGGTTAGGTTAATTACATGAAATGAGAAAGTTGACCTCCAAATCAGTCTTTGAACATTCTTGCAATTATCATGAATACTGAGTGTCACATTGTTAAACACAAATACAGGTAGAGATATCACAGTTTACATTGTAATTTAACATGCTTTTTATATACTGATAATGATTAAAAGTTAAAATTCTTAACATTTGCATGTTTGCAAATAAAGTTTGGTGCATCATGATACAGCAGTTTGTATCACATCACAGTGTACTGTAGTATTCATAGTGGGACAGGTGACACTAAAATTGTTGCATCCTTCAGTTGGAATGATAATATTTCATGAAAAGTATCAAAATTTAATTAGAAATTATAAAAATATTCTATTCCTTCTAGAATGAGATATTGTACATTTACTTTAATTACCAGTCCTAACTGATGACTAGGGAAAATTATTATGGGAAGTAATAATGATATGTAGGTCCTTGATCTAAGCCAGGAGAAGGAGCCCAGGATTCAAATACCACCATATTTATACAATATAAACTTTTATAGCTACTCTCATTACTATCACTGGTGTTCTACATTTTGTTGTTGGCCAAAATAAAATATTAAATGCAAACTTGATTAGTGTTAACGGTTTTCCTGTCAGACCATAAAATAATTTTTATATGCAACAATAATAAATGTTTTTACATATTTTTGAACCAGTTTCCTGTTGAATAAATAGCTTGTCAGCTTTAAAAAAATGTTGTGGTCACATTATAGAAATATCTTTTAGTATTTATTTAAAAATACAGTTACTTGTGTTTCTAGTCTTTTGTATACACATTAAACTTTCACTACAATAAATTTAGATAAACTGGTAAACTTGTGAAATTACTTACCTATTTTGTGCTAAAAAACATAATATGAATTGTTTCCTCATTCAACAGACCCCAAATTAAATGCTGTGTTTCTGTGATACTAAATAGATATGAGGTTGATGGGTCTTATACTATGACACAGGTTGAACTTCTGACTGGCCAAGCTATTATTTCTCCGTATCAAACTGAAGAATTACGTAACTGTCAAAGAGACCACATTCCTACATAAGTTAAAAATTTTCATAATGCTAACAGTGAGACATTATCTTTCCACATATATTTCATTACAAAGAATACACATACAATACAAGCATCCATATTATTCATTTGAACCTGCAAGATCTGTCCCACTCTGTGTACTGCAAACAGTATGCTGCTGGAATGTGACTGAGCTAGAACTGGATTTTATGAATGGTCAGTTCTCAAAGTTTGTCTTTCTATAAAGAATGTATGTGAAAATAGGTGAAACATGAATACAGCGTCTCTTGATTACAGTTGCTACTGATGCTGTGACCTGCGGTGTGGACATGCATCGCCTTCAGTGTGTTGGCCAGTACATTCCACAATGGGAGCATGTGTAGAGTCCCACATCCCTGGGCCACACAACTGACACAGGCTTCCCAGAGTACATGGGATGCGCGGCATCTGACGGAACTGATGAAGCAGACCCCGCGCCTGCATTAAAACATTACATTACAGCTTCAGATACTTGTAAGCCATATTTGTAAGTTTTAATATTATTGGATGCTTTTAACATATCTGGGTAACCTGAATGGATCTGCATATCTAGCTGGACAGACGAGAGTATTATAATATTTACATGGAAGGGGAATGCATTTACAGAATATGATTAGTGACAAGAGGAACACACTATAATGGGTAGAATGTAAAAGCATTTTTGTAGAAAGCAAGAGAACATTGAGAAATACTTAAATAACCTATAAGGACAAGAAATAGTTTAAATGTAAATAGCAGGTAAGTACAAACATATTACTGAAGGATATATATGTATATATATTTTTCCATTCATTCTTATAGTTATGCCATGATCACTTTCTCTCACATTCTTTTAAATTCATTATTCACTATCATCCCCTCATTCGACACTATATAGTTTGAGCTACTGAAAAGGCGTCATTAAATAAAGTTAATTTCATAGTTTGCTGATGACAATTTTTTGAAGCAGACTACCACTATGAGTTAATTACTGAGCCAACTTCTAACAGACAAATATATTCATAGGATGAAATGAAGTTCTGATTTGTATAATGTTTTAACACTGTTGAATAACTGGTGCATATGAATCAGCCTCAGACCCATTAACCAACCAAGAAACTTATGTGATTATTTCCTAACTCTAAATCAGTTGCAGATATTACTTAGTGTTTGGCTAGTAAGCGACAGTCAATGGCATGCTACTAGTATGATGAATACTTCTCTTATTCACACAAAGTACACAACAAAAACAAAAATGAGAAACTTGGGGTAAATCTGTATGTACCTTTGTGATGTCTCAGCTATTCAGATTGCTCTGATACTTTGAGAAGTGGTATGAAAGAAATGTTAATGACATTGAAAATGTGACAAGATAATTTACCTTTCTGAGAATGAGTTCACCATCCATGAACATGGCCAGGGAACTAAAATAAAGAAGCATTTCATCTGTGCGAAGATCCTGAGCAATAACATCATCTGAATAGATACTGATGATGGCAAGACAAAGGAAGAGATGGAAGTAGTCTGTGAGGTAGTTTGCCCAGCATGCCTCCCACATCTTCAGGGCCTCTACTTCTGGAAACTCTCGCTTGAAGCATCTGCAATAAAGGTCTGTTAAAGCAGCTTGTGATGCGTGCAAGAACTCATCAGGTATAAATGAAATAAAATAAAATTCTTAATCTTATTGAGGCATATGCTATATAAATGTTCTATTGGATGAAAGATGATGAATCCTATGAAATGACATTCTCTTATTTGCATTGTCTGTAGATGATGAAAAAATGTGATGAAACTACAATCTTTGTTTCTTGAGGCAACAAAGCATTAGGCTATCTACAAGTGTTACTACATTCAGGAGCCATTCTGTCATGCCTTCTACATATGAGTAGCTCCATGAAAAGTTAAAGCGTTCATTGAGTCTTACTCTGAGAGCATTGCAACTCCATCCTCTCTTGATATATGTGATTTTGGACGTCTTGTGTTTTGCGCTTTGAACTTTACAAAAACATGGTTATTTTAAATACACACTGATACAACAAACTGAAAGATATCAAACTGCATACTAAATTTCAAAGCTAATCACATCTTCACTCACCTGAACACTCAGTTTGTATATAAGCCCAACAAACGGAACAGGTTGAGATTCCCTGAATATGAAGTCTGAGTTGGAATTTTCTGTACCAGTTCTTGGACCATGTGCCTTCAGAAACCAAGACTTCCCACCATTCAGAAGTGTATAAAATACAGTGAATGTATGTTACTTACAGTAAGATCCAGCGATGGCAGAAGAGAAGTTCCATGGCATCAACATGACTCTCAAGGTGGGAGTAAAAGTGGGGTACCATAAGATGGATGAGTTCCCTCAGATAGCTCTGCAACATGCACATTGCACCAAATTTTGGACATTTAAAGAGCCATGGAACTGAAACTGAAACTGTGACTGATCTGTCTGTATGACAAACTATGAATCCACAATATGCCAACAGCTGACTTCTATGGAATCCAGAAGTGACAGAGACAGAAAAATGTGACACGTGACTCATCACTCAAAAGATTTAATTGTAGTCTTGAAATTTAAGAAGTTAACATAATAATTAACTGTTTGTAAGTATGGCAGTGTAAGGTTAATAAATCTTGACAATATACTGACATCAGTTTACTCTTCTACAGATATCTATAAAGCAGTACTCATCATTCATATAGTTATAAATTACTTACAGAAAATCAGTAATATGTGTTTTGACATCTACCTGTGTTATTCTGATGGCTACATTGCATAGCACACCATATGAGCAGAGTTTGATACAAGAAAACAATGATCCATCACTCAGAACTCACAGTAAATATTAATATAGTACATAAACATGAAGAAGTAACACAGTCACATACAACATGGCAAGACTGCAAGCACAGTATGAGGAAGCAAGGAGTTGATGCCACCGAAGAAAATTCTTACCAAGTGTCTGTCTATGTCATTGTCAGTTGGCGTGCAAACAAAGATGGCTTTCTGCATGAGACCAACAAAGCACCAAAATGCTTCAGACTCAGTGCGTATTTCTGCAAGCACAGGAGCAAGCAGATCTGACATACCCTGAGTGTATCCAAACCCTGGATTGTAAACTGCGTAGTTAAGCAAAATGTTTCTGCAATACAAGATATTTCAGAATTAAAAAGAGTCAAAATTGCAGCTGTAATATCTGTGAGAACATTTTAATAGTTAAACAGTCTCTGCTGTGCAGTGATTGTTAATAGAAATGACACATTTCTGCTTACCCTGAAACATTGTTAAATCATGATTCAGCATCAGTGAGAATTCTTTTAGGCCCAAATGTAACATGAAGTTCAGGCAAGCACTTACGTTCCTTTAGATGCATCTATTTGTAGACCAAGATCAGCAGAAATTAGTGATCTTTTTCCTTTAATGTGGATTCTGACCACTTGACAATTGGAAATGTTTCCCAGTACTGATTATAGTCTTTAGCAACCTAAAAATTCTTCAAAATTTTTTTTCAGCTATGCTCAGTATCTATCTTGAAACCTTGCATGATTTTATATTTCAGTGTCTATCTCTACACAAAATTTCACATTCATTACATCAGTGTTTCATTGTTAATTGCTATCAAACTGATAGTTCAATATAGATTCATGCTGTAGTGTTGTCCTATCTTCAAAGTTTGTACGGCTATCATATTAGTATTACTGATGGTAGAAATGAATAAGCATGAACAATGGTATGAAGTTCATACCAAGTTTTATCAAAATGTGGAATCTGGTAGTGTTGGGGTAAGACTGGATTCTCATTTAGTATTCAGATCTGACCTGGAACTTTTTCTCCTCACAGACTAAAACATTCACACTGTCAGTTATACACAGGGAAAGTAAAGTAATCCAGGCCCTCATCATAGTCTGAAGCCCATATTAAACTACAGGTCCCCTCTGCCAACATCTTCATAATCACTTAATCATTAGGGGTAACAAAATCTACCATATCTGTGCCCTTACCTCAGAAATGGATTCTAGACCTGTTTAGAGTGGGCAGAGGCCAGGAAAGATATCATACACCATCCCTCAGGGCATTATAAACCACTGAACCAACCAGTTTTTTCAGAATTCATCCATTAAATTGAGAACTGCTAGGGAGTGAGGACATTAAGGTTTTTGTATCTGACATGTTTGGCTCAAGAGAAATTATGTTAACAGGGGAATGTAGACAAGTTACAAACTGAAGAGTTCAGCAGTAAGTAATCTTAACCTGATATTAGCTGTAATGGTGACTATACACAAAGGATGAGGTGGATGGTATACACAAGGGAAACAACAGAATGCACACATTTGGTTGGAAAAACTCTGGGGAACAGACCACTTGGAAGACTTAGCCATTCATGGAAAGACAATTTTCAATTCTGAAATAGATATTTTAAAAATGGTAGGGTGTGAAGATATGAACTGGACTCAGGTGACTCAGAGCCTTCGCGAACATGATGATGAACCAAGAAATCAGGAAATTTACTGAAATGAATAACAGTCAGCTAATTGCAGATTTGATTATCTGAATTAGTGGGTTACTGAAGTCAGACCAAAAATTATGTGTATAGGTTACCTTGATATTAGAGATATCTCATTCTGTTTCTAGATTGGTAATTTTTTTTTCACTTTGATCAGTAAAATAATGGAGGAAAAAATAGGCACAAACTCTACATATTACCTGACTTATATTTAATTTTTTGTTCATATTTTACATCTGAAATTAAATCTCCGTAGTAGTTGACAATTCACAAGAAATGTTCAAACCGTAATCTTAAAATTTCTCACTTCATAACATGAATGTTGGGATTATCCTCGCCAGCAAAGTAAGGATTCCCTCTGTCAGTGCGTACAACATCCTTCTCAACAATGTACTGAACATTGCGGCAGAAGTTTTGCTGCTGCTCTGGCTCCATCTCCAAACGCCTTCGACTATAACAAAATAAAAACTTTGAGTCACATAATTTGGGCTCGATGTTGATGGTATTCTTTGGAGAACAATGATGTTCCAAAAGATGCCACATTAAATAAGTCACTGCTGCCCTTTTGTTTTATGACACTACTGTATTAGATGGCTCTTGCACTAATAATGATCCACAGTCATTGTTGTGCCTTAGATCAGTGCTTTAAAATTATTTTCATAAAATTTCTTAGCATTCTTTATGTGCACACAAACGTCAACTGTACAGCTCCAGACTTTTATATTTTCTTCATAGCATGTCCTATTATCTATTGATTTTAGTTTTTAGAATGTTTTCATTATTTCCCTCTTTTCAGACATGTAGAATACTATACAATAAGTATGCTGACCCACCTCTGGAAACAAGGTTCTTACAGCTATAATTATGTTGTCATACATTATATAAACACACACCTAATTTTCTAGGTGCAAAAATAAAGAAAATTCCTTCAATTGGAGTTTGAAGCATCCAAGAAAGAGGAAGAAGAAATTATCTGTTTACAGAACTTACAGAGACAGAATGAATCACATGAATGAAAATCTAAAAAAGCCAGAAGAAGTACTTGCTGCTCTTAATTTAAAGATTATGTAATTAAATTCTCATTACAGATTTCACTCTACACTCACGTGATCTCATGATATTCCTGATGACGGATTTCAAGAATCTGTTCACGTTCTTCATAAGTTGACTGGAAGGTAAAGCAGTGTAAAAGGAAAGGCCACACTACATGCCTGATACTTGGCTCCAGTCCTCCAAAGAAGATGCCCTGCACCAACCATGAATGCAGTATATTTAAAACTTACAACTCTTGCTATTACTTCATATTACAGATAAGTCAACACACATATCCTTCTGTGGTAAATAGCAGCAACACCAACTGAAAGCTGTAAACTTCAGCAAAAATAAAAGAAAAGGAAGATGTTCTCTTTCGTAATAATCATGTCATATTGTGCTGTCTTTGATTTAAAGTTCAATTAAACTTTTGCTGTCGAATATTTTATGTGTAAATCACATTGAAAAAAGAAATGACTCGCATAAATGATAATAAATATATAACATACGGATCATAAACTTTTAATTAACATTAAATTTAATTAAATCAACATAAAAGTTAAGGTGAAACTGTCAGGAAATCGTTTATAAGAAACATATTTTGTAAACTGTCAACTGATGGTGCAAAGTGCAGAATGTTCCATCTGTTCAACACTATATTACCTACCACATCAACTAACTTACTCCATGAAGCAGAGTGTTTCTTGAGAAGCTGATAGTCATGCATCTAGTCAAGAAATTCCCTTCCTTTTATAGAATCTTAATGTTCACTGCACTGTTATGAGACAGACACAAATTACTAATGCAGCATAACAGTACCTTTCTGAGTGTGAGATCATCCTCCAGTTGCCCATCCTCATTGAGGAGACTGGACCACTCTTCTTGCCCCACAGGGGGTACCAAACCTTCCTCAGGATGCAACTCATCCTGGCTCACTTCTGGCCTTTATCACCATGAACCACCACCAACAGAAGAAAGAATCAACAGTGAAGAAACAGTTGTTACTTGTATGATACTTTACATGCATGGTGCATATCAGATGCTGTGTCATTCTAAGTCAAGAGATAAGATGACAAAAGATATGAAAAACGTGACCAACATACTAAGTATAAATGTTGTCTCCCAACTGCAAAGGCATATAGAGGGACATAATATGTTATAATGTTTAGGTTTCATAAAAGGCAGGGCAGTTCTTGATCAGTCAAAGTTTGAAGGTTTCTGTGATGTAAAACTGTTCTTCGGACTTGACCATCGTCTAAATTATAAAACTACATTTCAGAAGCTGGATTCTGCTTCCTTGTACAGTTAAAAGGGGAGAAGAGGCCAGAAAGCCTATCTGTTGGGCCTCCTGATTCAGTTATTCTCAGACCTGGACCTTGGTCCAGGTAAATTTAAATACAGGTAAACCTCGACATTCCCTTGACTGAAATTGAGGAACTTAAGTCATTGACTTCCTATTGATTTACATTATAAAAAGAGTTTCAATTTACGCCGGTTCGTCCAGGAACGCATCCCCGGCGTAAATCGAGGTTTACCTGTAGGCTCCTTTCAATCCTCCTGCATTTTAAATTTATTTTACTGTTTAATTAGATTTTCTTAAGATTATAACCCATATCTATATTTGAAATTGGATACAAGTTTTAGGCTGAGTTTTGGCAATTGTCTGAAACCTTAAAAAATAAAAATTCTTGTGGATGACTTCAATGGGAAATTAACAATATAATTCTGTACAGAAATATACAGCATTCTATCTTCTAGGCAAGTTTAAGCTAAATGCTTTCATGAACATACATGTACATGCCTTTGAACACCTTGTTTAATAAGTGCCATGCCTTCTAATGTTTTATTTGAATGTTCACTGTACTGTCAGTAAATCTGATCTAATGACAGATCTAAGGTATGGTTTCCTGTTTAAAATGTACAGATGACAGCAGTCTTGTAAGTAACAGCCTTCTGACGTAGGATATGCACACCTGCAGACCATAAAGTGACGATATGGTAGCTGCGATTGGTCAGTTGCACTGAGCTGTGGACTGTGTAGCAAGAAATTCCAGTCTTGGAGTACGGTTGCTAATCGATCCAGTCCTCCATGATGGAAGTGAAGGATCTTATACTGACTTTCTCTGGATGCCACCACCAGTTGTCCACATGTACACGCACTGTCATTGAAGAACAACCTCAGTGATCTCATCTGACCTGTAAGTACATTGTTCAACTGTCACACAGCAAGGTTTCTTTATTCTTTAATGCTAAGTTCTAAATCCTAAATTGATAAATCCAGTTTTAAGTGTGACTGCATATACCTTCATCCATGTTTATGAGGAAAACTGCCTAATAATGAAAATGGACTTATATGCAGCTTTTATTATAGTAATTTCTGTGGTAAATGATGATTTAACGGAATATAAAAATATATGGATCAAAATGGGACATTTAGTAACTGAAGTCTGTATTCATAAATTCAGAATAAAATATGTTTTTGGTACTATGAAGAAACCCTCAAACAATATTGGTCCAATATCATATGAAGATCACCCTATGGCATTCAGGACAAAACTCATGTTGGCACTGTGCTCAATTCTCTTGCTTTATGAAATTTTGCACCAAAGACACTCTGATAATGGAAGTGTTGGGTTCTTATGTCTTGGAGTTTTAGATATGTCTTAAAATTCACTTATTATGTAATTTGCCTAAGTGGGTTACTGGACAAATAAGGGATGAGGGAAAAAGATCATTGGATGTTTGTAGTTTAAATAAATTTTATGTTTAATCATTGATTCCTATCAACTGTTCCTTCATGCAAAAAGGAATTAACATGTAAGTTCTCAATATCAGAAGATGACTGTCTTCTGGGTTGTAGCATCATGTAGTTTCATAGTCCTTGCTGCTTTCATCATCAGGAGTAAACTTCTACCAGACTACATGGTGCTACAACCCTGAAGACAGCCACCTTCATACACACTGCTGTGAGAACCTCAAATCATCAATATATGTCAAAATAGAAGCACTTCAGGGCCTCATTTTGAAGGAGACAATGAATAATATAAATTACAAAATCACAATAAAAATTAGAAAATCAGATAAAAAAGGAAATACAAGTTTCTTCATCACAAAAAGTAAAAAAGACAGACGACTTGTGGTTTTCATACCGAGGTCTACAGAGAACCGCCGGCAACGATGGGTGCGGCGAACTATGGGAGATGCGGTTGCACTCTCTGGAAAAGTGAGGTTATGCTGCAGGGCCAATAACTCTGGTGAACTCATCCAAGGTGGAATCTCGTCTGGGTGCAAAAAGAAGAATGCTATTACCTATGCTGGTTTGTAATTGGCACTTAGGAGGGTAATTTCATGCATGGTTGATAAGACAACCATATTATGCAAAATTACATTTATGTTTCTGTACTACCTTATTTATGTTAATTATGCAGTTGTTAAACAAAGGCACTCATTTGCTTTACACAGCTGAAATTCTTACTGTAATATAATTATAGCAGTGAAATGTTTTACTATATGACAATACAGATTTGGATAAGTAGTGACATTTTTATAAATTGTAACTGTCTTCACAGTGCCATGTAACAAGGTCATATCATGTCTGTCAAATGCTGTTTAATGGGATCTAAATTCTTCTAAGGTCACTGCATTTACAAGCAGTGAAAATGAATGGCTCTACAAATTTATTTTAATTCATTTACCTTCTTTATTGGAACTGATGTTGAACAGGACTCATTTTGTTGAACTATGGCTCAAATGCATCCATTACATTGGCTAATGGCCAGTCAGATGTTATCTTGTGATACAAGAGGCCACACTTATACACAGTACAAAAGCCAGAGAAGAACTTTTCAAACCCTGGAGTTAGTAAGAAAAGTAAAAAATTGTGTGACCTCTCATATCTGTTTTCTGTATCGACAGCATTCATTATACAAGTGAATTTCTGAACCCACCTGGACCTATAGCAGTTGGTGGAAGAGACAAGCTGCAAGCAGATGTGAGGGATGGGGAGCGACTAGTTTGACTCATGTTGTGGTTGGTTGCATTCTCATCATCCTGACTCTCTTCTACGCTGATAACAGGACTGATAACTGAACTGTTATTCTGATCACTGTCTGTTTCTGGCACCTCAAGTAAATCATCTTGACTGCTAAGTCTCCTCTTGCATTCCAGTGATTGTGGTCTTTGTTTCTGTTGCTGCCCATTTTCATCCGGAATACATGCTCGTTCTGTGCGTGGTCTTTGTTCTATGAAATGGTGTCTAAATTTGTCTGAGCAATGTGTTGAGCTTATGACAGTGTCTGTATGTTGCTCAGTCTCACGAGACTGTTGTGTTATCAAGTTACTACAACTGCTACTGCTACTGTCTGCCGAACTCCGGCGCTGATAATCAGCTGTGAGGCGTGTCTCTTCAGAACAGTTATTGTCTCTGTGAGTAGTGGCAGCCTGTTCCTCTGATCTGTAGAAAAAATGGACGTGTGATAAGCTGTTGCATGAGACAACTATCACTGCATGGTATACTATAGGATTCTAAACTTGCAGGTCTTCATATAATTCATACATGTTTACAGAAATGTCACCATGTAAATTTTACTTGCCAAAGTACAATGAGTCACCAGTGTACGTTCATAAAAATAAAATCCCCATCATTTGTTGTTCTCCATTTATCTTAAAAAATGTTACTAACTGTATACTTTTCAAATATTTACCAATATACAAAATTTCAAGTCCCTATGTAGGTTGATGTTAGTGCCATTCTCATCTTACCAGTTTGCATGGCTGCAAGTTGGTACTGATGACAGGGAGTTAAGAAAAATTACCAAGATGGGTAGGTATTCAATAACATGGTGTTCATAAAAGGGTTTCAAGAATATCAGTCAGTTAACACTTGTAAAATTTATGTTCCTAGTTGGGTCAGGGGATGGACAGATAGATTGACACATACTGTGGTCTTAGGAAGAAAATTTTCCTTTGGATCTCAAAAGAACTATCTCCAAATACTTTAGATATATTTGCTATTAGCTTATGTATTTCAACATTCACTTTTTAAAGGGAGTGTCCAACTGTTGCAGTCTAAACAACATTTTCATGTGAATATTAACCTTTATTTTATGGGAATATAGGATTGAAATCTTTGTATTAAAGGGCTGACTGCTGGTGTTAATGGTTAATGGTATGCTAGTGTGACAAACAGGAAGCTGGATCATCTGTAAGCTGCATCACATGGATGATAATGGTTAATCATTATTCAATTGACTTTTTTAAATATGTAATTTTTACAGGCTGCAAGAAGACAGAAATTTACAACTTTGACCTATACAGGCTGTTTAATTTGAATGTTTAAATTTTATAACCATAATCTCCTCACAGTCTAACAGAGCAGTTCTATGCGAGGAACCATTATATGTACCGAGCAGGATGTGTGAGTTCTGTGCAGGATTTCTCAACAGTCCATGGGTTGCGTCGCAGTGTAGTGTTTGGTATCCAGCTGAGCTGCAGTGTGGGTCGTGTATTGCCATTCTGTTGCTGTTGCTGTTGACATGTAATGGTGAGGTAACCAGGGTGGTGCACAATGTCACATGCCTGGCGCAGGAGGGTTGGTGGATGTACACACACATTGTTCTTACCTAAAAAATATTATGTATACCATATGGTGTTCCTTACACACATTTGCTGTGATATTACTAATATTATTAGTAATGAAATTTATATTATTGTGAAACTGCCATAATCAGTGTAAAAATTTGGATAACTTTCAATATTTGAAAATGCACATCCCCAAAAGCTGAAGTTTTACATTGAGCTGTAAAACATGAAGACAAGGAAGCCATAAACGTGTCTAATATTTATCAATACTCTGTACAAAATACATTTGGATACATTCACTTATACTTTAACTGAAGTTTGACTTGTGTAAAATGGAAACGGTGCATAACTTTATATGCATACAAATCTTAAACTGTTTCCATATATAATTTTCTGTGACATAACAACCCAATCATTGCTTGTGATCATAATGTGAACATCAGGCATTCATAACAACATAAAAACTATTGGTCAGGCTGTCATATTTGACCTTTCGATATACATATAATATTGACTTTTGCAGCATAAGTTCTTCATAACATGGGTGTATGGGCATACAATTTGGATATAAGAAATACTTTTTATAAAATTGAACTCACAGAAAATAGTTTCTCCATCAGCGAAGGAGGGTGGTGAAGGGGTTCCTGTCTGCACTCCAAGGATGTAACTTGAAGCTCTTTTCAAGATGTTATGCAGTGGCATCTTTTTACCTTATGATACGCTGTGTGCTACCAGGTACCTTGAAATAGAGAACTGTATGATCTGAACAACAATGGAAAGGTGTATTCTGCACTGTACTGGAATATTATTTAAAGATTACTTTAGCTACCTTACTTAGACAACTTTAATTTCAAATATACAAAGCACTTGGTCTTAAAGTCTTCTGTAAGTACCATAAATCAATAATGACATGTCATAAGGTGCTTTAGTTCTATGGTAGCATACTTGACTCACATGCAGACTGTCACAGGATTGAATCCTGGTCAAGTAATTTTTTTTCTTTCATGGAGCTGCTGTGTTATTTTACGTAATTCAAAGAACAATTATACCAAAGTTTTGTACTTTGTAAAAGTCTATAACTACGCATCACTATACAGCCTTAGTGTAAGTGGCGCTAATCTTGATCCTACCTCACAAGTTTGTTCATCTGCCATGTTGGTATTACTGATTGTAGAAAATTTAAAAGTATGATTTTAGGGTAGTCCCTAGTGACATAATGTCCATGGATTCAAGTTGGGTTGAGAAAGGAGGAAACTGACAGTTCCATTCTCTAATCTTGTGTGACAAACTGGATTTATATTGACATGTATTTTAAAAACATTTCCTACATACTGAACATTGTGGTGTAGTGATCTATACTCCTGATTTATGTTTAGGAGATCCCACATTTAAATCCTGGTCCAGAGGTAGGTTATTCTTAATTGAGATTTTTAACCTTTCTGCCAATATTTTGGTTGGAGAAGGGAGAAAAATAGATGGATCAGCATCAAGTTTTAAAAATTAATGTGTCACTATTATTTTTCCTGGAACTTTCTCCTGAAGAGAAGTATTTAATTTTTAACTTGACATGTACTTGCACTAAGTGCAAGACATGGAGGTTCTCTGTGTGGCTTGATGGGAGGATGTTTATGCATGATAATAGATTATCTTTGGATTACCAGTATAGTTATTCATGTTATCAGGTTTACCATAGACAGACAATGCTACTTGTTAGGCCCAATGGACCATGAGTTAAGCAGTGTACACATTAAGATTTCATTCAAAATTAGTTTGAGGTTCTAATATACTTGTTCCATAAACATTACATATTGACATATGACATTAAGGTACCATTAACATAATTTATTTTCCTACCTTTTGAAGTGATAGTCTCTTTGAAATAGTATTTGTGATGGACATCCACTTTTCACTTCACTAAGAAATTGCAGCTTTTTTCAGCACTGATTTAGATGGTTTACAAATCATGAGTATAGTCAAGGTAGCTGACCTCAGAAGAGAATCACAAGTGTAAAAGCATAGGTGTGCTGTGTGTTCAACCGTTTCTTTTGATTGACCATTACTATAAACAAACACAATTAAAAAGGAAAGTGCAAAAATGGTTCCCTCAAAGCATAGACCAAAGCACTCTCATCCACTTTCCTAGAAGAAACTTTTGCCTCACCATTATATTTTCGTTAGTTTATCTTAAATTTTAATCACATTTTCTGTTATGTTGTTTTATTCTTTGGCAATATCAGAGAAATGAAGAACGTAATTCTTCTCACAGTTGCCATTCATTTCAGAAGCTTATCTCTTTAACATTATGATCTTACAGTAAATGCCATTCTTTGTTACAAGTACTGCATGCAAACACACATGAAGAAGTTGTTTTAGGTTAATTTACGTACACATAGACGCCCATGTTATGTAAACATATGGTACATGAACACTGGTATAATTATGTTGGGAAATTTAAATTCGCGTAGGCGTAACTTTTGAGAATGAAAATATGTCTGGCACTATTGGCAGCATTGTGATATGAAATTGTTATTTTCGCTGAACGTGGCTCTTAAGGAAGTATCCAGAAATGATTTCTTTGACATGTAATGTGTTTAAAAATGTACGAATCAGAACTATTGTGCGCATTAAATATTAAATGTTTGGCTTGCAATCGTTGCGAAGACTTGTAAGCAGTAATAGGAACAGCCTTGGAACGGTAAGAATCATGCGCGGTAAAATTCAATTTCATTAACAGTGGTATTGGAAGGGGGCAACTCATTGAGGGAACATTGTATATTATAATGTTCTTGGTATGGTCTTATATTTTTACTCAAGACATTTGTATTCTCTTCACTATGATACTTTTCAGTCATATGGACTGTATAGGATGATGTAGAATGATTATACTGTGTGGAATTTGGAGTGGGTACTTGCATGAAGTTTTTGCTAATTTTTTAGGGCTTGGAAGAATGACACCAAGACTAGTAGGGCAGTGGTGATAATTTTGGTCGTAGCGAAACCGTGACGGTAATTTTACTTTTATGAGTAAGTCCATGTTATTAAAATTGTGATATGATAGAGTAGTTAGCAATAATGCTATCCTAACCTAAAAGAACCAAGTCAAATTGCAAAGGGATCAAAATCAGCCCTGAACATGCCTAGTAGGAGACCCAAATCATTTTATGCACTTTAACCACTGTAACCCTATTCTTTTAGAGTCTCTTCGTTCTAAATTGTATTTATTTAACATTACATTATTTTCTGGTTGCTGTATTAGAGTCATGAAATGTAACACTTTCATTTTCAAAACCCAAGTATCTGCTATGCTTGAACAGTTGTTTACCATTTCACATATCCCAGAACAATCATGGACGTTTCAAATTGGAGATTTTAATGCATAATTTAAGTGGTTATCTAGCATTTAAAAGTTCATAATTGGCAAATAAGATAGGAATTAGAAATTTATTTGTAAGACTTGAGGTTCTCACAGCGGTGAGTTTGAAGATTTCCGTCTTCAGAAATTTATTTATTTTCTTGTTTCACATAGATGTCTGTAATATTATATTTTCCATTTTCAGAAATTTTACTATGTAATTCTGTGAGTCAGAAAACAGAAACATGGGATGTCTAGCTTGGATGTAGGGCTAATAGCTCAGTTTTAATGTCAGTCATGACATGATTATCCTGTATGTTTGAAGTATTATAAAACCAGAAATATAAAGACATACATGCATGTATCTGGTATAATATTACTAGCATTTATGGGCCAGAGACAATATGGGGAAAAAGAGAGAGAGGAGTAAAGTCAAATGTTGTTGTCATTTTAAATATATACATAAAAACATTGCTCATAAGGACAAAGTAATTCATGCCATCACCACCTGTTGCTCAACTACATTGTAAACTGCTGAGATTTATTTCCCTTGAATTTGAAGGCATAGCCAGTATATTTGATCTTTCCATTTTTCATGTTAGATTTATTGAATAAAATGTTACTTTAAAATTGAATACACAGAAATGTCTATATAATAACTACTCCAAACTCTTAAACATATTTTTTTACAGAAAATTTAATTCTATTCATTACAATGCTTAAAATTATACACTGGTGTATACAAAGTTAAAAATTAATGTTTATAAAAAAGATATATACACGTTAGCAGTTGGCAAACACTATTAAAGTAATGTTTCATTGAATATTTTGGAGCATTTACAAAGTCTATGTAACATAATATGTATGGCTTTTGTCATATAAGTAAAGGCACAAATGTACTTTAAGAGATCTATTGTCAGCCTTACATCATAGCCAGTTATGAAAAATGCAAGTTCATACTTTCATTGGAGATTCTGCATCGAGGGCTGCAATAGAGGACTGAAGGAAGAAATGATAAAATGGGTTATGCCATAAGATTTGAAGCAAAACAGTTTGCTACCATATTAATAATTTCTCAAAATTGATTAATTTCTCATTGACCTGTGTACAAATAATAGATGCAAGGCAGAGACAAAACTCTTTTATTGTATGGCAATTACAATACTTGCTTTAAACTATCATAACAGCAGTGTAGAACTGCAGTATGTGTGTGTTATTTTTAGCCTGTAAAATCATTCTAAAGCTGTATGATGGATAATACAACTATTCTGAACTTACAAGGGGACACAATAAACACTAAAAAAGAATCTTTGGTAGCCATAGCATTATTTTATGTCAGACTAATTACAGAGCTTTGGGGTTTCAGTAAAACGTGCAGTAGCAGCAGCATTATGCCACTGAATAACTGCAAGAGAACAGTGTAACCATAACAATCAAACATCTATAGAACAGAAGTCTACCAAGTTGGTTGGCTGTCACTTCTCAGATATAATGTAGAAATAATTTATTTCAGGCATGGTAACCATTGGTGTAAGGGTTGTCTGCAATGTTCACAGATCTGGTTCACAAGGGATGATATGCTTGGTCAGTGTCTATGTTATTAAAATGATTGGTTTTAGATCATACAGTCTTTCTGTAGAGATAAAATAAATTCAGTTTGTTTAGTTAAGGTAATGATTTGATTTGTGAATTAGTGACTTGAGAGAGTGTGTGTGGAGTAAGCTAAACGTGTATAAGAATGCTGACAATTTAACTGACCAACTTTTGATCCTGAGGAGATATACACCTTATTCATTCCTTTTTTCTGAGTCACTTAAAACAAAAGTTTTAATTTAAATTCATTGGTTCATTGTTTCAATAATTTAAGACTCTGCTGTTTGGTAGAAGACATCTGGCAATGAGCTGGTTTTGATGTATTTATTTTTGAAACTGTAAACATGTTCATGAAGGTTTTGGAAGTATTTATAGACTGTAGGGTGACCAGTTTAGAGTGGAAAGGAAGTAGTAAAGATCTTATTATGGCTGTCTTCTGGTACGTTGCACTGTGTAGTTTGGTAGATATTGACTGATGTTTCAGAGGAGCCTACTGCTTCCATCATCAGGTATGATGGAGGCAACATCTAACAAATTATGTGGTGTGACATTCAAGAAGATAGTCATCTTCTCACTCACCCACTGAAGAGATATTGTTAATACATACACCACCACTTCTTTGCAGAGACTTGACAGAACTATGGGAATATTCATCTTGGGTATTGCAATTCTTGGTTTCAGCTTTAGGCTGTAAATCTGAAGATGGAGATCTGTAATTTTATGATTATGATGTGAATTGTTTACAGTTGTAAACTTAAGGTACACAAATTAATATTTTTTGTGGTGTAAAAGCATACACTGCAGCGTATAAAACAATATATAGACTCCAGGATTGATATGAGATACAGACTACTAGGCAGACATACTCGTACACACCATATTAATTCTCATAACGGTCTTGAAAGTACTTAACATTAAAAGTGATGGTTTTTAGGCACCATCATGGTCACAAGATTCTGCCATTGATGAGACAGTGCTTATGATACAATTTAGATGATTTACTTGGAGTGCTGCTAGGTCGGACAGGACATAATCCTCCGTCTCTGAGTTTCCTGTTGCTCCTCCTTTAGTAGGGCCTTTTCCAGCCAGTCCTCACTTTCATACACTGTCACTTCCTCATCATCAGAGTCACCTTCTTCTGGCAGCAGCAGTTGACTGTACGATGCTTGCTGTCTCTCATAGCCCCTGATACATTTCATCATCCTGTGAACACATCAGCATAAGCGGTCACATATAGACAACAAGGGGTGGTCCTCTAGTGTGGAGGTTGGGCTAACAACCCCTTACCACAAGAAGAAAACCTGCACATTAGAAAATGTTACTCAGGGTCTTGGATTTGGATAGATTCTGTGGAGCAACTTAGGTAATGGAAAATGGACATGTTTGGAAATTTAAATGTCATGAACTCTATAGGCAAGGTTTGAAAGGAGGATAATATTGAAATGGATCTCAAAAAAATAGGATGTGAGGATATGGACTGGATTGATCTGGCTCAGGATAGGTACCAGTGAACATGGTAATGAATCTTTGGGTTTAATTAAAGATGGAGAATTTATTGACCAGCTAAGAGACTGTGAACTTCTGAAGAAGGACTCTGCTCCATGGTGTTTGGTATTTTATATATTTATGTGTTTAGTTCGTTTTATGTGTTTATCTATCATTTTTCCCCAAATTTGATATAGATATTGAGGTCATGCATCTCAGGTTACCCACAAATGTTTTTTATATTCTTATTCATTTATCATGAGGCACTGAGCAGTAAACATTAACAGTCATCATTTTAAGAGGACAGAAGTAAATACGCATGAAGATCAAATCATGTCCAAATACATTCACTGGGACAAGTAGAAAGATAAATTTTGCAGCTGTAGATTGTCCCCTTAAAGCCATTCTACTATGACAAGATGAAGACACCAGTAATGCAAAGATACCATTCTTTGTCAGATGCACTGAGAAAAAGTAATTATCTGCACTGCTATATCCGGTCACAAAATTTTCAGTATTACCTCCAAGTTATTTGCTGCCTTTCTACAGTTGGACTGACCGAAGTTACCGTCTACGCCACCGCTGCTGTGATAATGACAAGAACGGCTGTCATGGTCAGAACTGGAGTCATCTGTCCCGCGGCGCTTTTGTGAATGTCGCCCGTAACATGTTGGTGATGAGTAGAGTGAATCGTGTTTCTGTCGTCGTCGAAGCTCCGGTCCGTTACTCCAGTGGGTCGCTGGGATGATGTTGAAGAATCGAACCCTATTGATGGGTATAGGTATGACTTGGTACCGGTGAATGCAGTAATGATTCTACAATTCGGCTCGTTGAGATGAACTCGCCCTGCTAAGAAATTCTGAAGCCTGTTCGAAACAACAGTCAGATTCCTTAGTTGAGAATCGAAACCAAAGCTGGCGGGCCACTGCAGCAAATTGTTGTCTTGAGCAATCTTACGTTGATTACCTTCGAAGGGCAGATTGGTGTCCCATTTGGCAATAGCGTTTTCCCCCAACAGACCGTAGTACAGAACTCCACGAGAATCCATAGCCATGCCCTCGCTGATGGACGTCTTACGACCATGAGTCTTAATATCTCCTGATACATCACCTACAGCGCGAGTTTCGTCTTTCAAGACGGACGTAGGAATAGAGAAAAGCGAGTAGCTACTGAGGGGCGAGTAATACAGGCGCCTTTCCACCTTGTCTGAAACAGGCGACAAGGCAAGTCCATCAATGTTCTTGTTCACATCTACGTACACTCCGTTGATTGACAAACTCCGGACCCCTGGGTCTGCTCGCATGGATCTGCTGTCGCGGACTTTCCACGAGCGGTTCTCCTTCCAGCTGTACACTATCAGACCTGGGTCCTTTTCACTTGCATCACTTATGTAAGTGTAACCGGTGCCATCATTGTCGAGGACGATGTCCACCAAATTGGTATCTCCAGAGGTCACTGAGTCAGAAAACGTGACTATCCTAACACTACCACCAGGCCTGTTGTAATTGTTGTTATAACTCCTAGGGGAATTGTATCCACCATGGCTATCATCCGGAGTGTTGTATCCACCTTGGTTGCCACCTGGAGGATTGTATCCGTCATATCTGCCACTTGGCGGATTATATCCGTCATTGTTGTTATTAGGGGGATTGTAGCCACCTTGGTTTCCACCCAGAGGATTGTATCTGCCCTGGTTATCACTAGGAGGGTTGTATCCACCCGGGAAGTACCCTGTTTGATGATTGCGTTCGGTGCCTTCTTGTCTACGTTCCGTATCATATGAGTTGTACTCTGGAGACGACGATGAAGTAACAGAAGTCAGGTCAAACATTACAATTTTAGGAGGGCACCGATTGTCGGGTTGTTGTGACAGTGTATTAACTCTTCCAGAATCGATGACCCACATGTACCCGTCCGGGTGTATCTCTACATTTTGCACATTCTGGAGGGCTGAGCAGTTCCCCACGTGCTGCATCTCCCATGACGGAAACGGTTCCAGCTTGGGAGACGCGTTGCGGTGGCTTCCCGCCGTTAGGAGCGGGATAGAAGCCAATGTCGCAGGAACGCCGCGACGCCAGCGAGGTAAAGTTACAAATAGTCTATCGCGCCAGACCTTCACGCCCGAAATTGTTGTATTTTCAGGTATAAATTGCGAAGAGTCCAGAAATCTAGCCTTGAAAGAATCATCAGGCCACGTGAAATCAAGTTTGTTCCATTCGTAGATAACACCAAACACTTCCGAAGGGTCTTCGCCCTTGACGGCGAACGCTGTTACGGTCACCACTAGTATCTGAACGCACAGCATAGTTAGACGAGGAGACTTGAACGAGCGAACTAGACGCTGCATGCTCCCTACAGCGAATGAAGACTTGTGTTATAAACAGTTTTTTAGTTCCTCTCTACCTTTGCCACACCTTGAGAAAACAAGAGGCAATAGATGAGAGCCGAATGGGTCCGAACCGACACGAAGTGTAAGCAACCATTACAGTCACTCGCAAAAATGTCTTCACGTCCGTGTCCTGACGTCATGCAATGACGTGTACGAGTTTTATGTGGGGGAGGTGGGTGGGTCATCATGCAAGTGATGTGCGGGTAAAAGGCAGGTGAGGTTGACTCATAACTGTATGAAACAATGGGGGACATCTCCTCTCCGTGCTGGTTCGTAGTCAAGCTGTCGTGTCAAATTTCCTGCAAGTATCTTACTTCCCGAAGGCTTTCAAGTTTCATTTTACTGGAAACTTGACATATTAAAGACAAATGTAGAAAATGTTTTCATGATCCTTATTTTGGATTTGAAGTTTTGACGGCGGTGAGTCTGAAGATGGCTGCCTTCTGGGTTGTAGCGCCATGTAGTCTGTAGAAGTTTACCCATACCATGATGATGGATGGAGCAAGGACTTCTGAATCGTTGATAAACTTCTACCAGACTACACGGTGCTACAACACAGAAGACAGACATGTTCTTCATCCCTATGTTTTTCGTTATATATAAATTGTATTTTAACGTAAGTATAAATAGATATCGACGACCGAATCTTCAAAATTCGAGGCAAGCGTGCAAATTTCAGATCCTCGCATCGAGTCGTAATAAAACTTTACCACTCTTTAGCAACGAAACGTTCTAGCACGTTTCTTGTATTGCGAGAAAGGACGCTATCGCTACATTCAATACGCAGTACAGGAGCGCCAGAACCTTGAATTTTGATTTGTTCTGTGCTAAAATGACACATATCAATAAAACATACACGGTTCATGCAAGGCTGCTTCCACGCTGACAGCGTTTTAGTATAACATCCCGTAGTGCAAATTATGGCCCCTGGAAGCTCAATGATGTGCAGGTGTTGTTAATTACGTCTCACTCTTTCAAGTACTTGTATGCAGAAAATATAATCGAAAAATAATAAAATAGTGTAGCTGTCTTAAAAAAGGTGTAATATTGGCGAGCATGATTTGGACTGACAAACTGTTTCCGGTCCCCGGTCTGTGATTAAGAAATCTTGTGAAACTGGGACTAGCATGGCTCTATAAATTTTCTATATATATGCGGCCGCCATATTGTTTTACGTTGTGAAAAACACAGCCTGAAAATACGTTCATTGAATGTTAATGAGGTGATGACTAACATTTGCTAAAAGGAAAATAACACGAGAGAGGAAGTTGTCACAGTTTCCCACAATTTGCGGTGAAGTCATAAGACCCTCGCCGTTCGTGGGGGTTAGCATTCTTGAAAACCTTACGAACTGCAGAAGATGGAAACAATAGGATTTCGCGGAACCAAAGACGAAACGTGATAATTAATTATTAATAAGTATTAAGACGTTAACAGTCCTGACAACAAGGGCAACAGTCAGTTCTAAAAATTGCAAAATTCACATCTGTAGAAAACTCGGTGTGGCACGATGTCTACGTAGCTACTGAGATGAGTGGGCGGATGCGGGCTGGTGTGTTTTATTCTGTGCTCCTGTGTAAGAGCGAGGGACCTACGCCGCGATGTACAAATATTATGACGGCAACTATTTCCGCTAATGAGGCAGATCTGCTATACAACCAAGAAAAGTAACCGGGGCATGTGACGTGCCTGATGCCAGGTACAGGCAGATACGTCTCTCAGTGTCATCTGTTACTCACAGTGTGTCTAAGAAATTAAGTTTCTTGTCTGAATTCTGTGCGTCTATTTTCCTCGTCGTCTTACAGTAGCAGATCCAGGGTTTGAGAAAATCATTTAACAACATTTAAGAATTATCTTTTATGTGTGTAGATGCATTTTATTCTTTATTTACCGTATCTTTTATTTTACAACTAACTTTTCTAAGAAGAATTTCTGGTTAGAATTTGAGATGCGTACTTCACAGGTTTTACATTGGGTATAGTTCTTGGCTGTTTTTCTGTCACAAATGAAAGTTAATTAAGTAGAATTTGAGGTTTTTACGGCGGTGAGTCTGAAGATGGCTGTCTTATGGGTTTTTGTCTCCATCATCAGGGCGATGATCGCCTTGATGATGGAGGCAACAAGAACCTCTGAAACATGGCGCAACAACCCAGAAGGCAGCCATGTTCGAAACGTTATTAGTTTCCGTAGAAGTAAAAGTGGTAACCTCTTTAGTTAACATTATCTTTAAAAAAGTGTAAAAAAGTGATGTTCTAATGTAAGTCGAACATTTCGATAGAGAACATCATTTTAAATATTTAAATGTTAATTATAGTAATATTTTAATATT